AAAAGTGGCTTGTAGGTACATTTTCAGACGTTTAATGAGGCTCAGAGGTGGCATGAGTGCAATTAAATTCATATATTCATGTGGAGATTAATGTTTTAAATATAAAATTTTGAATACAGAAATATTAAATGATTTAAATCACTGGAATTATACGCTAAAAATGAAACTAAATCCACCAACAGGTGGCGGTAAGTCACTGATTTTATCACTGAATCATTCATTAAATTGATTCGTTTGAACAGCTGATTCATTCAGGAATGAAAGCTTTATGAATGGGTATTCATGAATCACTGACTCACTAGATTCGTTCAAAAACGCACTTTCATTCATGAATGAAACTCGGCTGTGTTTGCTTTTAGAGATGCGCAGCGGCTCAGCTGTTACTATATTTGGAACTATTTTCGTTGATGCAATATATACAATAAGACAATAAGAATGTTTGCAGGAGTGGGCGGTAATGGTCAGAAATTCAGGGGGAGCAGGCTTAAGAAAACTGTCCCGTTCAGGTCTCTAGGCTGCGCGTCAATCAGGCAATGCCTTGTTTATAATGGGTTTTAATGTTTTTGTCTCGTCGCTCTGGCCGGACAGGGCATCACAATATGGTAAGGGGCGTAACATTTCCAGTCACATGCTTGAGGTATTCGGCCAACCACAATGGATATATCGCACTGGATAGCTGGCCAATCAGAGCACACTTCGCTTTTCAGACCTATATCGCACTGGATAGCTGGCCAATCAGAGCACACCTCGCTTTTTCAGACCGATGAGCTTTGTAAAAATGTACGCGTTTCAGAAAGGCGGGGCATAGAGGAGAAACAATAATGTACAGAATGAGGGAAATAATGTGCTTTTTTTTAACCTTAAACCGCATAAACATTTCATTACACCAAATACACAAAATAATGTTCTTTTTAGCAACATCATATGACCCCTTTAAAACAGTTACCCACCGAACAGTAGTGTTAGCGCCCCCTTGTGTTAATTTGGAAACACCAATATCAGTTGAGAATATACATTTTCAGCCATATTTGAGTGCATTTGTGTGTGTGTGAGAGATTACGTGTAATTTATATTGGTCATCAGCCAACCAACTGGCTATCTAGATATTGTCAACAACTGAAAAACCTGACTCAAATGAGAGACATCTTTCTGTTTCTCTTACATTTAACCTAGTTATAAGCTCACCTGGGGTTCTTAACGGAAAAGCTCCCCACTTCCATGAGAGACATCTTTCTGTTTCTCTTACATTTAACCTAGTTATTAGCTCACCTGGGGTTCTTAACGGAAAAGCTCCCCACTTCCAGTAGCTCTCCGAGTGGGTCATCTTGACAGTGGACGATGTGCTGTCTCTGTTTGTCATACAGCTGCTTCATCATGATGTACTGACCCAGATAGTGCATGACCTAATGAAAAACACTGTCATTATTAAATGTACCTTATCAAGCTGTTCAAACTCTTAGCTAAAGCATAAATCAATCAGCAGAGGTCAGCTCATCCACACTCCTCACCTCCTTCAGGGTAAACAACTCCTCCCGAGCACCTGCTACTCTCAAGATCTGCAGTAGCGGAGCTCTGGGGTGGACCTGCAGAAACAAAAAAGCCATGCGTTTAAACCTATGAAGCCTACTATATCATATTTGATACATGAATTTCTAAGGCCTCTAAACTGTAAAATAATCAAAACTTTGCCTAAACAAAACCACCTACTCACCTTCTGCCCTCTAATTAATAGTTACTTTTTTAGATAAATACTTTTTTAGTAAGTAAAAGGCCTTTTATAGTATAATTGTAAAAATGTCCACGTTTAGGTTGTGGTACACATCTTTTTTGCTATGAAATCCTGAAATTGTTTAAAGTAAATGTAAGAATAACTTTTAAGTAATATTTCAAGACAAACATTTACTGGACTGATACAAATTTTACTGACTGGTTTACTGAATTATTCATACGTAATATTTTTATTTTTTTTAAATCATGTTGAAATGTAAATACCAAATATTATACAACAGGCTTTTGAGGAATGTTTAGTTGTACAGCTACCAATAAACATTGTATTGCATTATATGTTTGCCCCACACAATTAAAATAATTTAAGTATCATCTCAAGCCATATTATTGGAAGATACAGTGACAATTGATATTTATATGCATAAAAGTTTTTTTTTTTTTTTATGAGTAAGAGCTTCATATTCTCACAATATCACTACATGGGCCTGGGCCATAAAAGCCTGACATATTAAATATGACACAAAACATGAAATACATATGCATTAGCTATTTAAAAATATATATTTGACTAAAGATTCAATATACAGTATAATTATTTAAAAAAAAAAATGAAGAAGGAAAGATTTTTCTTATTATTATTTCATACGTCAGGCTTTAAAGGGGTAAATTAACTATGAAACCACAACAATGAAAGTTACATATATACTATATATAAAAGTTTAGAGTACATATCTACTGCTCACCTGAGTCCCTTCCCCTGGAAGAGTCCTGCATGAAGAGCTTGACCCCGTTAACTGAGATGATGATGATGATGGTGATGACAATGAGGTCATGATTGACTTAAGAACTGTGAGGAAACACATTTATATTCAGAACAACGCCAACGTGTTTTAGTTATACCAACAAAGGGCCGTCTTTCCAAACCTAGTGCTAGTGAGCGTCTATCTAGACAGCATTTCTGGACATCATAGGTGCTTCCTCGTTCAAACAGAGCGACAGCTCAATACAAATACAATGCATGTCAATAATATACATACAGTGCACCAAAGTGGTAACCATGTTAAAAAAAAAGAAAAGAAAAAAAATCGAAACTAATGTATATTCCCGAGGGCGTGATATTGTAGCCGTCAGCTAATTACACAAAACAAACATTTCTATGCCATTTCACTCGCATAGGACATGCTGGAGACTAAAATGACTTTACTTACCATTATCCTAGTTCTGGCAAGTGGATAATAAGGTAAGCTGTGATAGTTGGCTGAAAAAATGTCAATTCTCCGAGGCTGAAGCAAGGAAGCTAGGCTAACGTGGGCGAGCTAGTAGCGCGCGACATTCAGAAACAAAAGAGCCGTTAACGCTTAAACTACACCTCGCGTGATCGTGCTGGTAGTGCATTCACACTCACCGTGTTATCTGTGAACGATTACATGGTTTCCAGTTTTGAAAGAATCAGAGTTTGTGTAAAGAAAGGGAGAGGTGTGTGGGTTTTTTAAACAGTTGCAGTCAGTTGAAGTTGACGTGGTGTATGTCGTCATCGGGGTTGCCAGACCTCACGCGCAGTTCTTCTTCTTCTTTCTTTTACTAACCGCACCTAACAGTGCATTACTGCCATCATCAGGTAGCTTGGATCAGAAACATTTCCTCTATCTCTTAACATTCCTACTCTCCCTCTTTTTTTGGAGGCATCTGTGTATATCCGTATATTATTTCCATACATAAGCCCTAAATACTCCTTTGCTCTCATTACTTCCATCTCATTACTACTTCCTTCTCTCTGTCTTATCTTCAGTAATGTTAAATCTACTACTGGCTGAGGAAGAATCCATAAGGGGTTATGTGGATACATTACTCTTGGTATACATCTATAATTGTTTATCCCCATCTCCTTAATATCTTCTTCTACAACCCATCCAAAACTCTTATGTTGATTCATTCCTTGTTCCAAACATATTCCTAGTATTTTCTTTGTTGGATGTTCCTCATCCTGACTCTTAAGATTTGTCCAATACACAGCCATTAACTGTTGCCTTCTAATATAAAGCGGCATTTCTTTTATCTCTACGTGCATTGCTGCAATAGGTGTTGTTGGATATGCCCCACAGCAAATTCTCAATGCTTGCGCTTGAATTCTGTCCAATTTCTCTAACTGAGATTTTGCAGCCAGCCCATATGCTATACTTCCATAATCTAGCACAGATCTTATCATTGCTATATAAACTGTTTGAAGCGCCCCTCTATCTGCTCCCCACTCTTGTCCTGCCATACATTTCATTACATTTAAAACTCTTTTACACTTACTCACTATCTTATCAATATGTTCTTTCCATGTAAGTCTAGTATCCAGCCACATTCCTAGGAATCTAATTGATGTTACTCGTGCCATTTCTTTGTTATATATTCTTAACTTCCATTCACGGTCTACTTTCTTGTTAGAAAATATAATAGTTTGTGACTTCTCCACAGAAAACGTAAATCCCCATTTGTATGACCATTTAACTACCTCATCCACAGCCTTCTGCATTTTCCCCATATTGAACTTATTGTTTCTTCCTCTGAACCACAAAGCCCCATCATCTGCAAACAGTGATCTTCCAATACTCCTATCCACCTTACTAAACATATCATTTATCATTATTATAAAAAGCACTGGACTTATTACACTTCCCTGAGGAGTGCCATTTTCTATTATTCCTTGAGATGATATAGAGTCTCCTACTCTCACCTCACGCGCAGTTCCCTTTTTTTCCAATTCAAGAAGAAAGCAAGTTATTGGTTGTGCCTAATGGTGGCACTATAATGACCTTTACTGCAATTCCCCATCCCTTCTCTGAAATAAATACCAAGTCTACTTTAACATAGGCCTAAATAAATATACAGTATATATATATGGCCTATATAAAATAAAACAGACGTTGTTCTGAATATAAATGTGTTTCCTCACAGTTTATACAGGTGCATCTCAATAAATTAGAATGTCGTGGAAAAGTTCATTTATTTCAGTAATTCAGCTCAAATTGTGAAACTCGTGTATTAAATAAATTCAATGCACACAGACTGAAGTAGTTATATATATACAAATACAAAGTCTGCATGATGATTTCCCGTGGGTTTTTTTTTTCCCCTCTGAATGTAATTTTTGTTTGGTGTATTGCATGTATAGATATTTAGTTATTACTGCCTGTTAATGTATAATGTATGTATATGCGTCCAGACACCACAGTGACCTGTAACCCATCAGATACCTGTTTTTGTTGAGAGGCAAGTATTTCATATTTATTGCAGTTCATTGCTCTGGCCACATCTGCATTCCTCATGCCTCCCTGCAGCAGGACTATGGCACGTTCATAAGCTATGTTTCCATCACCCTGTTTTTATGTGCATTTTGAAGTATCAGTTGAGAATCATTGTCCATAATCGCCAACAATTTTGCTAGCATTCTGTCCCTTACCACTTCCTCCAGAGTAACGTGCTCAAAGCCGATGACAGACTCAGCCTTTTTGATGAGTTTGTTTAGTCTGTTGACGTCCTTTGCTTTGAGGCCCGCGCCCCAACACACCACAGCAAAGAAGACAGTACTCGCAACAACAGTCTGATAGAACATCTTGAGTATCCTGTTGCACACACTGAATACCTGAGCCTCCTCAAAAAATAGAGCCGACTCAGGCCTTTCTTATAAACAGCCTCTGTATTTGTAGACCACTCCAACTTGTTGTCCAATTGAACACCCAAGTACTTATACGATTCCACAAGTTCCACATTGGTCCCCCCAATGCAGACTGGAGAGGGTGGAGACTTATTCCTGATGACATCTACCACCATCTCTTTTGTCTTCGCCACATTTAACTGCAGGTGATTTACCCCACACCACCTCACAAGCGGTCAACCAGGTCTCTGTACTCCTGTCCTTTTTCCACACAGCTTACTATGGCTGTGTCATCGGAAAATTTTTGCAGATGACATGACTCAGAGCAGTACTTAAAGTCTGCAGTATATGTTGTGAAAAGGAAGGGAGATAGCACAGTTCCCTGGGGGCCCCCGATGTTACTTATCAGACATTCAGACACACAACTCTGTAATCTCACAATCTGTGGTCTGCCCGTTAGATAATTGTGGATCTAAGTGACTATAGAAGCATCCACCTGCATATCTTCCAGTTTTGCCTTCAACAGGCTGGGCTGGATGGTATTAAACGCACTGGAAAAAAAAATAAAAATGATACGAACTGTGGTGTTGGAACTGTCCAAAGAGGAGTATGCCTTCTGCAGCAGATACATTATTGCATCTTCCACACCCACCTGGGGCTGGTTTGCAAACTGCAGGGGGTCATGTGATGGATGCACTAAGCCCAAGGTGTGCCAGGACCGCTAGGTCTCTCCATGACCTTCATTATGTGGGAAGTTAGTGCTATGGGCCTGTAGTCATTGAGTGCCATAGGATGTCTATTCTTAGGCACTGGAATAAAACAAGATGTTTTCCATAGCACTGGAACTCTCTGAATGTACAAGCTCAATTTAAAGAGGTGCTGAAGTACGCCACACAACTGGCTAGCACAGGCCCTCAGCACACGGGGACCAATGCCATCTGGTCCAGCAGACTTTCTCTGGTTTAGTGTTTCCAACTCTCCTCACCTTATTGGCCGTAATATATAGTCCAGTATGACATGGAGGAGACAGAGGTGGAATGGAACGGGTTAAACTCATTTGCTCGTTGTACATTCCCCTCCACTGCACCCCTACCTTTTCTCTGAAAGCCAGTAATCTTTCTTATTTTTTTGTAAATGGACAACTCCAAAAGAGATTAACGACAGTTTCAGCAGAATCGCTACAGAAAGAGCAACTGGAGAAAACATTTTTTTTTTAATCTTTCATGTAATGGTTTGCAGGATAGTACTTATGAATTATTTTATAAGAAATTTCTTTTACTTGGTTAAGAAAAACGTATGAGGAAGCATCTATACTTTTTTTTCCCAGCAGATGCTGCCCACTACATTATTCCAATAAGCATTCACAGCTGGTAACAATATTGATTCCTCCATAACTGTTGGTTACTAGGTTACCAATGCCACCATCATCCACTCGAACAACTTGATGGAAACCACTGATCTATATAATGATATTACATGATATATATATGATATAATATTAGCAGTGATGGAAACGCAGCTATATCACTTTTTTTTTTTTTTTGCGAACTTTGAAAAGATTCACTTCATGTTACGATGGAAACCCAGATAGGTGAGCAGGAACCCTATATATATATATATATATATAATGCATATTATATTTTGGTGTATTATACACGTATTAGGTAGTACAGTATAATAAAAAGAAGCTAATCTCTAGTTTTATATAGGGTAATGCCCCACCCCATAAAATCACAATTATATTAAGAATGATATCAAAAGTCATTTCCCTTAACACATTGGCTGATGCATCATCATCCTACACATGCTAAATCTAAATATTTTACATTTTAAAAGTTAATGCACTTTGTTATTAAGGGGGCATCTTCCATCATATCTTTTTTTTATAAGACTACATACACATACAATACATTTTCTATGTGCATTGTGAGGAAGTCAGACAAAAAAAAAAGTTTGAATATTTTCTATAGTAACACTATTCTAACTTTTTCTAAATATAACTAATCACAGCTGTACATTGGCATCTTTGCCTAGTTTTCATCCTTAAATAAACTGAATGTTTAAAAAGAAAAAAAAAAGAAAAAAACATGACATCACAAGAAACAAGGACACGAGCCTCATTGTATTTCAAATTCTAATGGCTTTATTTATATATATAGATTTGTATATATATGTATATATAGTTTATATAATAACTGACTTCAGTCGCTTGATTATCCTTTTTTCATTTTTGTTTGTTAGATTTAAACGACAGGACATAAAGAACAAGGCATTCCACATGATCATATATTACAAAACAGTAAAGAAAACTTGAATGTGTGCACATCACACACATACATTACATAGATAATACACTTGCGTTAGTATAATGAAATATGGGCATGACTGAATTCACTTCAACAAAGGAAAGCAAGCGTACAGAGAGAGAAATAAAGAAAGGAAAAGGAGAGAGAGAGCATTGTTATGACAGCTGAGAGAATAATAAATAAATAATCATATTTTAATCCAATGAATCTGTTGCATAGTTCGAAGCAAGCAGGACTAACATTTCAGCATGATAATGATTCTCACAAAAGCTAAATGAAAGAAGGGCTCAACAAAATCTGGATTTTTATTTTTTTCACCAATTAAGACACACTGACTGCAGACACCGTTCATGACTGACACCGTTCAACACACACGCACACACGTTGTTGTCTGAATCCAAAACACACTCGAATATTCACTCCAAGTGCACATTGACAATTAATGAAATGGTAATTCAGCCGCTTAGGCTGATTTTTCCCTTTCATGCAGCATTAAGGTTGACACAGCTGGGTCAACTTTACATGAATTTAGCATGGAACAAAAAGAGCTCAGCTCACACTTGAATGGAAAACAAACCAAGTGCTTTCCAACAAGAACATTTTGAAACAACTTCTCAGTAACAGTATATTCCCCTACTGTCACTGTATAGCCCTTAAAACTACATTACATTAGTTGAGCACATATTCTCAAAGAGACTGTAAACAGACAGGACACTGGGACACATTGGGCCTTTTAGATCCACCAGTCAACATTTTAAACGAAATTATTCCAAATAAATGCAAATCAGATTCACTTTCAATTAGAATCAATTAAGGCCACCACACTTTCCCAAAACCAATGATCAAAGACAGTTTTCTCATTTTTAATTAATTACTTGGGACTAAATCAATCAGACACAGTGGAGCACGTTGTCCATTGGCACTTCTGTGATCCTAGAGATGTAAAATCACAAAACTTCTTGATTCAGATCTTGTTCAGTAAAAGTACTAAAAGTAACACAGAAACCTAATTTTAATAGCTTAAGTCATTAATGACAAGAAACAAAACAGAGAAGAAAAAACAGGAATAAATGGAAATATGCTATAATCAACACTCTTAAAAATAAAGGTTGCAAAAGGGCGTTTTCACATTGATTCCATAGAAGAACCAATATGGGGTTCCTGAAGAACCTTTCAGTGAACAGTTCTTAGAAGAACCATTTTTTGTCTTAGGGGCCATTCACACAGAATGCGTTTTAGCTTTGAAAAACACGAGACATAAGCAGTGGAATGGAGAAAAATGCAAGGCCTCTTACTTGACTAACTTGAAGCACTACATTTTTATAATGCCATCTTAACGTTTACATACAAAAACGATGGAATTTAGTGTAGTGGAATGGGGGGGAAAAAACTGCATTCTGTGTGAACGGCCTCTTAGTATAAAGAACATTTTAATCTAAAGAACCTTTTGCAGAATGGAAAGATTCCACGGATGTTAACAGTTCTTCATGGAACCATAGATGCCAATAAAGATCCTAATCTTAAGTGTATTTCCCATGCATTAATAAATAAGTCAGCTGCGTCCCTGGATTTGTTAAGACTACACATTCATTGACTAATGTAAATAACTAAACCTACCTTGTATAAGATTATTAAACAATGCTCTCTCTCTCTCAAAGCCCTCAAATAGATGCAAAGGGTAGGAATAAAGAGAGTAAAGGGAATCAGTGCATATCAGGAAAGTGAGATGGGGACTCAAGTACGACTGTTGCCTACCTTGAAAACGTCTTTCATCTTTGATGGATCATGCATGGATGAGAGGGAGCTTTCTGGACGGAGTTGGTAACCCACACAATAAGGTGATGGAACATCAAAGCTCGTACCACTCTGCAATTAAGCAGTTCAATCGACAGCCATGGCTTATGGCTATAAAAGTAACGAAACGAAGCCAAAGCGAAGCGTAACTGGTAAAAAGACTAGATCGTTCAAGCACATACTCTGGCAGTTATTCCCACACCCCAGTAATTAGGAAATTTAATGGAGTAGTGCTCTCTCATGACGTCTAGACAAGAAACGAGACTCTTTCATCTCCGCAGTACAGAACATTCTTCTCGAAAACAGTGTCGAGTCAGTGTGTGTTTCCTTTGTAGAGTCTATTGATGTGTGAGCGTGTTTGTGTCACATTCATTCTGGAAACAAGCAAACATCTGGGGACGCCTCATTCCATATGTAATCATGCAGAACATTGAACACATACGTATATTGAACAATTACGATTTTTTTTCCAATGCAGTTTTTTTCCCCAAGTACAGCGTGGTTTAAGCTACACAGGACACTAAAAATATAAATCGCACCAGGTTGTACATATTGCTTTGAACCACCAATTTGTTTATAAGTAATGCATGCCACATAGATGATATTATGTTTATACAAAAATAACACCAGTGTATATTACTGTTTCATATGAATTACAGAAATCGGATGTTCTATTGACTGCTTTCCCCGCAATCAAATACAATTTTAATTTCACTCAACATCAGATGTAATTGGACTAAATATATGCAAAATAAGTGGTTTCAACTTAATGTTATATTCCAGTTTTAAAACAATTTTTTTATTTACAGTTGTGGTGTATCATTTCCTCCCGTCCCCAACCAAGCAAACAAGAACTGTCAGACAAATTCAGTAGAGTAGTAATACATTAAAATTCAAAGTTATTGCACGACACCTTGAAGCGATTCTCAGTTTACACAATGCAAGAGAGAAAAACATGTGCAATAACAGAAATGGTTCTAAGGAGCTGTTAAAGGGAACCAGAAAAGAAAATTAAAGACAATGGCTTTGATCGATTCCCCCATTTTTCTGCATCCATTATGATCAAGTAATGAAAAAAAAAATGAAGGGGTATATTTTAGATCCTCATGGGAAAGAAATATCCAAATAAGGATGAAATCCAGTTATAAGTTTTTCCAAATGAACAAGAACAAAGACATAAGTCAGAACTGACTGTACAAAGCAACACTGTGGCAGAATTTATATAAAGCTCTAACTGGAAACTGTTTGACTGCTTCCACATGAAGTAAAATGCATTTGTACTTTCGTGTAACATACAGTATGTATGCTTAATTTATATCCAGAGCTGCATATGACAAAAATGTTTTCACAAAGACAAATCAAAGTTAAAATGATGACAACACAGAGAATACGTAATGATCTCTATTTTCCATAGCCACCACTTTGCCACTTTAATGAGTGATACAGAAATCTTACAGAAAATAAATCATGTTTTATCAGTCTAAAAGAACATAAAAGTTGAGTTTGAAAACCTCAAAACCCTTAACATTTCTCAACTGTAGTTCAATAGATTCCAATTAGGTGGCAAATAATATTATTTTAAAGACTTTTCACAGCCAGCATATTAACCTGTGGCTGCAGATTTGGAGTACACTATTCAGGATAAGGCCATTAAATTGAGAACTCGACCAGACCCCTTGACTTTAGAGTAAACATGTAACTTTATCAGCTCGGACATCGAATCTGACACCGCATTTGGTTACAAACGTGGCGCATATACAGTATATATATATATATATATATATATATATATATATATATACTAAACTGCTTATTTTGCTAATTTGTCATGTCACCAAACTCTCTGGCCTATACACCTATATTTATATATTTTTCCAAAATATTAAAAAGTACTTAATATAAAAATACAGAACAATTGTAAAAAAAGGAACAAAGCATTGAGTTTTATATGAAATTCATGCATGCTTACCCACAATAACATACCATTTTCCACTTAAGTGAAATAACAAAAACTGCCAGTAGGGGGAAGTGCAGCTTCACCCGACTGCTGTGGAACCTTTCCGTAAACATTAAAGTGGTCCATCTAGGGTTTTTTCCTTTTTTCTTTAGGCAGTGACTCTGTGTGTGTTTTTAGAATTTGGTTGGAAATACAAAATAAACTGCAAAAACGGTGGGATATAAAAGAACAATCTATAAAATATGGCTCTGAGCAAGTAGAAAAAGGTGTAATTTGAGGAATCCATCAATTGGTATGAGCGGAAGGTCGGTCTATGGCAGTAGTATGTTTCGGCTAATAAAAAGCACATGTCATTGAGGCCGCACTCTTATGAAAACAGTCCAATCTAGTTTGTCATCCAAGTTTCAACAGAGCTCACAGGGTCCAACAGAGGCCCTTGCCGCATGCTTTTGTGTGTTTAAGTGTTTTCTTTCTCTTTTTTTGTTTTAAATGGCAAAAGCATGCTTACTACATGCAGTATCCTTACCCTCACAGGCTAAATTCAGGGATGGGATTTTGGAGCTCTACTAGTGGCGTCTGCTTAACTTGGAGCTTATGTGGAGCACAGCCTGATGTTAGATAACAAGGAGAACACCTAACTGCAGAGCTGAGATGAGAAAAAGACTGGATTTGAAAGTACACACATACAGAATAATTTCTATAGCATTTTTTTTCTGAAAGAGGAAACAAGAAAGGAAAATCCTATTCATTAGTCATTATCCCATAAAGATTAGTATTACAATTACCATTCCCATACAATCAGACACAGATGAACCTAAAGACAGATACATGCACACTATGATGAGGTGCTGTACCTTCGATAAAGTACTTGGTCAATTAGCTGGGCATTTGTTTCGAGGCAAATGAGCATTAACAAGAGACTAGAGATGCCCATTGGGTGTGATTTCGATGAGATGATGTGTAAGATGACCCTCCCTGCCCCCTTAAGAGCCAATCAGGTATTCTTAACTTAGCTATCAAATAAGTTTATTATAGTCTTTTATTCTGCTAATGTTCACTATAGCAGCCTTACATCTGTACATATAAAGTGACAGGAAACCCAAAATGAGCCAAACAGCATTGTATGATAACCTCTGAAAACATGACATGTAGTGTGTCTGAACTACTTAAAACATCCATTAGAGCATAAAATCATTTTAAAAACTAAAAGAACATAGGTAGCTTCACTGCCATGTTTTTCAATCCACCTTAAAACAGAGCAAATCAAGAGAGAGAAAAAAAGAGAGAAATCTATTCAAACAGCAACTGAGTGCATGAATATAATCGGCTGTATCAGCAAAAAAACAAAACAAAAGCTATGTAACAGAGTCCTGGGACAAATAACAAAAATGATTACAGCATTACACAAGACCAGAGACGTGACAATATAAAAATGAGAAAAATCACAACTGTAGAAGAGATGCCAGTGACAGGCTGAGAGAGGACATTTGCCACAGTGTCACCCTCTAGTGTGTAAGTTAGGCAATACGTCACATGGGCTGCAGCACAGCCGCATGTACTTACAGAGCGCTGCTTTCGCCGACACAGTGCAAGTTGATAGGGGCAGAGGGGTGGGGAGGATGGAGGAGAGGCGAAAGGGATCGTAGTCGCCCCATTGGCCGCTGTAAGTGCTGCTGTCTCTCAGATGTGCATCAGCAGGGCTCCACCGGAGGAGTGGTGCACAGGTTTTAAAAACACAATAAAACAAAACAAAATATATGATTATTTTGGGGCAGTTGCACTGGAGAATGATGGGAGGGTCACACGGTGAATTCATGGCTGTGAAGAGAGCGGTCCGGGGGTTCGCCGCCACCTCCGTTTCTGGAAGAGGAGGGGAGGTGCTCAATCTCTACACAGCCCTCGTCTATCGTGGGGACGCGGGGTTCCTCCTCGGAGAGGGGTACAAACTCAGGGTGGGACATGAAGTTATGGATGGAGCTTCTGGATTCTGGCTTCTCTAGGCCCTCGTATAAGGAGCTGCGGAATGCGTTCACCACCTTAATCTGGAGAGAAAAAGACAAGGAGGAATTAGTGGGATCGTATCGTGTGGTGTCTGCTTCAGGGCGGGATGCACTGGATCTGGAGGGGAACAAAATTATGGTCAGTGGTGGGAGATGATTTCATTTCCACAACAGCACTCAAGCTCCTTATGAAACATCAAACAAACAAATAAAAACCAACACAAAAATAACAGCACAGACCATTGAATAGAGAAACAGGGATAAAATGAAAACAAACCACGAATGTGATGCAATTTTCTATTTGGGGCAAGTGAATGAGGAAATCAGGCACAGCATAAAACCGTAAGTGGGACACATCCATATCAATCACAAGCTTCAAAACATTCCAAACAAAATGACCACAATCACAGAAACACTGCAAGAGAGACGGACATGCAACTGATGTTTGTTCAATAAGCTATTTAGGAGCCAAAAATGGCAGATGTTCAGCATCCCTTTTGGGTTTATGAAGGCCTGTCAATAGGGGTGGGCGATACAGCAGTTGGAATGCTAAACTGGTAGAAACTGTCAACCGCAGAGTATTCTATAAAACTGAAAAAAAAAAGTGCCAAATCACATTACATTCAGGGAGGAAAGGAAACGAAGTTACTGCTACTAACTCAAGCTTTCATACAAACGTTTGTTTTCAACCACGGCAAGAAACAACCCGATTGTGTGAATTACTATAGCAAGTATTAAATGACATCTGGATTAAATGACTATTTATAGCCAGTAAGTGTCACTAAAATGACTCTACACTTCATCCACAAAGTCAAACTGGGTTTATAAAAAGTTTACTTCAGAATAAAAGCAATTGCTTTTCATTTATTTTTGTTTGAATTAATCAAAGTAATGCTGAGGAGATTTTAATACATTTTCAATTGATTATTTACTTGTTGCAAAGCAATGGGCACCAAACATGGCTCAACTCATCTAAAAGTGTACATTTTTAATAGAAGGCAAATGCTGGTTAAAAGTCCCCTTTATTTTCTCCAAAGGGGAAATGATTTTGAACAACAATTGATTTTTGAACAATCACCTACTGCATGGCTTTAGACAGTCTCATGGACTACTTTCTTTTTCAATTTAATTTTTTGCTTTTAACGCCCACCCCTACCAGTAGGATTTCTGCTTAAGACCAGTGAAGGGGTGAAATCAAGAAGGCATGGAGAAGAGAAGAACTGTCAAGAGGTAGAGAGAGAACAGAGAAGATGCTGTCAAATAAGTGAAACACAAACACGAATACACACATTTAAAAAACAAACCAAAAAAAAAAGCACTGTTCAGATTCCTGGTTTTAATGCCAGGAAGTCTAAAGACTTAATATTCACATCAATAGAGAGGACATTCGAGAGGTATGCTGCTTTACATGCAGGAATGCAAACAGGACAATTTGTCAGGTAGTTTGTGGCCATTGTGCGTGGTGAAGATTGATCCTTGGCCGGTACTACAGTCAAGTTACCATTTCCTCTGCCTGAGGATGTCATTTATTTTATTTATTATATTATTTTATTTTATATCAGTTTGAATTTTGTGGTAAGCACATGGCTGTTTTTAATGTTTACTTAGGACTAGGGCTGTGTAGCTTGTCAGTGATCTACGGCTCTGTGTAGTAAATGCCGCTCCATCTGAAAGCACATGCTGGAGATTTACTACTAATCACCAGAAGCGGCTTTACTGACGAGATGCGCATGAAAATCACATTCGATTTTTTGCACAGGCAAATCCAAACGGTAAAGTGGAAGGAGGATTTTTTTTTCTCAAAATATAAACTCTTAGGAATACAAGTAGATAGCATTAAAATGCATAGCATGTGCACCCAGTCCTTCAAAACATATGCTCTGGGTCTTTCAGAGACTCTGCGCTGTGGTAAAACGTAAGAAACTAATCTTGCTCTCTTGCAATTTTTATGGCTTCAACTTGAGAAGAACCATAAAGACAAATGTGAATTGGTGTAACTTGTTTTGCAAGGGTCTGGAGGATTTTCCCCACATGGAGCCCATGGTAACAAACACATCTGAAGAACCCTCTGCCCTGCCAGCTCAGCCAATCAGCAGTGGCTTAGTCTGTTCTATCCCTGTTTATTTCTCAGGTTTACATTCTTGTACCAGGCATGCAGCTATGTTGGTCATGCTTTTTCTTCCAATTTTCTCCTCCAAGCCAGAGAAATCCTTGCACATAAAACCAAGCTGCATGTCACATCATGTCACAGTGCTTGACTATGTTGTGATCACAGAAACTGATCTCACTGCATGCTGGAAGACAGCCCTTATTTTAATCAGGCTAACTATTTTTGCCTTAGTTTAAAATAGTAGAGCGCAAAACAAAACACAGAAGAGAGAGGAAGTGATCAGAGGGACCGAATGTGTAAAATGAATGTCTGCTAAGTTACTAAATTCCATCAGCCTGTGAAAAATGCAGGAACAGCAGGCTGAAGACATTTCTAGCATCTAGTCTCTCCTCATAATTTCTCACAGAGCTTGTCTTGAATCACTAATTTGGATGACTAAAAAGATGACTTTAGACAAAAGATGACTAAAATTATATTCCTATGGTACAAAATAAGTGCTCACATGTACGGTGACAATAATAATTGGTTATTATGGTTATTATTATAACCATATGGTCGAGCAATAACACTACTACCATTAATATGTATGCATTTAATTAATTATTTTTTAATTCTCACATAGTCTGATTTGAGCCTACCACCTAACACTGCCCTAGCCACTGCATATCGACACTAAAAACCACTCTGAACATTTCTGTACAAAATAGAAAAACCCGTTTGACATTTTAATGCATTGCTTGGCAGGATATAGCTGGACTACATCTGTCCATTTTCACATGGTTATTTTAAAAATGATTGAACCTTTAATTTCCTACCAGCTGTCTGTATATTTGGATCATTCCCATCTGTGGTGAAATGAACACTCTGACCCTATATCTGCCTTGTGTGTGAACACAAACTTTCAGATGTGTAATGCAAAAAGCACTAGTGATGCAACCTAAATAAGGAAGGCAGGAAAAAACAGCCCATGACTCATAGTTCCTTCTAGAATATCAATGAAGAGAGATGGAGACAGAGTATAACGTGTCAGAGCAGAAGACACAAGAGTGTGATGAGGGGGCTGAAAGCATGAGAGTGAGAGTGGGGCTGCAAAGGAAGGAGAGAGAGAAAGAAAGAGAGAAAAGTGTGAGTAAGTGTGTGAAAGCAGTTGTGAAAAGAGGGAGAGGCCTGGTGTTAAAATGAGAGGGAGTGAGCCAGGGGAAGAGAGAAAGGGAAGCATCACTATGACCCCTACTCTGGGGTGCAGAGCACTTTAAGTGAACACTTAAAGGGTGTAGGGCTCATATGTGCATTCGATACACCATCATCAAATCTATATGTTCCTGTACTAACAAATCCTCAAAATTCATGTTTATAACTGTAATGATGTTGTTGCACATAAAGCTGGGAGCTAAATATTGCACATTCGTATTATATTCGAAACCAAGGTTATTATTAGTTGTTATTGTAACTAAAACTATTAAAAACTATTTGACTCAATTGAAATAAAGCTGAATTAAAAGAAAATATAAATATTTGATGGGTAAAAATATAGAAATAGATCATGTAAAATTTTGCCTTGCCAACTAAATGGAATAAGTTTAAGTTGAACCAACACAATTACTGTTAAATTATTAAATTGACTAAATTTAAAAATAAAAATGAATCAAATCTCAAATAGGAATAAATAAATAGTAAACAGTAATAAATTAAACCTAAATAGTAATTAAAAAAAAATTCAAAACATTTAATTTGAAAAAAAAAAA